CACAAAAGACCATGCTACCCGTTTCCTTCACTGCTACCATAAGGTGACTCAAACTCAACCCCTTAGCAAGTATTAGAATTCATGGGGAAATGTTTGGAAAAAGAAAAAAAAAAAAAAAAAAAAATCAACAGATGCAAGCAAGGAAGACTCCTAATGACCTTTGTATGATATACATGGGAGTATTAGTTTCTCTTGCAGATCCACAATCCTTTTACCCTTCAGGTTTGAAAGACTGGGATCATGTCATACAGCACCTGCAACAGCAAAGAACTGGAATCTGGAACCCAAGCCCCTTCAGCCCTATGTGCTTTTTAATAACTTTTTAAAACAGTCACTAAAACAGAGAGAAACTCCACACTCCAGAAAGTCCCTGTGTATACATTAATAGTGAAGCAATTATAGCAAGATACTCACTCCAGCTCTAGTTTTTTGATGCCAGGTAAAAGGTCTGGAGCAACATCAAGGTACCCTATAAACTCCACATCCAATCATGGGAAGATTCCAGTGGAGCAGACATAGCAGAAGCCAAAAATAATGCTGCTGTCCAAGGACCCTTTCCCAAATCTAGGCAAAGGCAGCATTGCCAGAACCAGGGTTGGGAGAAGCAGGGCTGTATTTGGGGCAGGGCTGCAGTCCTAGGGCATGCCATCATTTAGGCCCCATAGCTATCTAAATTATGCAGATGGGAGCCAAAGAGTATGGGACTGGGACAGGTCCTTCTGTCCAAATATGATTAAGCCTGGCAAAGAATCTCACCCCTGGGTGTAGCAAGCATGACTCTCTGGCTGCCCAGGGTGGTGGTGAATTTGGCCACATGGCATGGGATAAGCTTTTGAAATAAATATACATTTTTCAGAGAATGCTAAACATATTTACTTCTGATCCAAGGCCTGTTTTCTAGAAAGCATCTGTTCTACAAAAATCAAGAGTGAAGGTTTTGGTAATGAAAGCTCTAACAGATCCTATGTGTACTATAATGCATGCAGTCTGCAAAGCCAGTCTCATACACTGAAGGGACAGCGGAGATGGGAGGGATATTCTACCAGCAGCAGCTTGCACTGGTCTGAAGGGAGAGAGTAACAGCTTTCTTGCAGGAGAGGAAGAAACATGATGGGATCCATTTAGCAACAGAGGCATCAAAATCAACATTTTTAATAGTGACATGGGATTTTAGCTGCAATTTTCTGGTGCCCAAAAAGAGCTATCTGAAAAAGGTTTTCAGGTGACTGGTGCTGAACATGTCCTGACTTGGCCCATTTAGGGAACCTAGGTGTCATTGGCTCTTTCTGAAAATCTTAGCCTGCTGAATTGATAAAAGCACCCTGCACATTAGCAAGCCTCATCTTTCACAATATGCAATTCCAGAGACGGATTGTTTTGCCTTTAGTGCAATCTGTCAGCACAGCACTGAGTGATTTAAGTCATGTTCCTGCAGTTCTGTGTAAAAGGCTGCTTATTCAGCCCAGAAACCTACTGACCTCCGTGAGACTTTTCACAGGCACAGGGGTCTCTTGATACATTCAACTGAAGAACTGGGGCCTCGTATCATAAACCAGCAACCCCCAAAATAGCATACCCAATTGAAATAGAATTTGTTCCTTATTTTGTAAATGGTTCTCCCTTCCCCTCACCTCAAGGGACTAAAGTTTAGATCTGTAACACAACTGGTGGGAAAAAAAAGATATTGTTTGGAACCCTTCCCAGAAACTCAGCCAAGCAGAGCAGTTATTTAGTTCAGAGGCTTTGTCTCCCCTAACAGGAGACACCTGGTGGTCACAATGCAGAAAGACATCTGACTTTCTCCAACCCCATGTCAGGAGGCAAGTAGACCAGGAATTTAAAGAATTGGGGTGGTAAGCCATGATGTATATTTCGGCAGCAATGGCATGAGAATGGAGCATAGGAACACTCCTATTTACTATATAAATAATTATTTTCCCAATTATTTGTGTGGGTCACTAGTTCCTGGTTGAGAAATATGACAGAACTTGTATAAAATCTGTTGGGACCCAACTCTGCAAAGACTCATGCACATGCTTTACTTTAAGTCCAAGAGTGATAAAATGCACATGGGTAACTGTTTGAAGACCTGGCCTTACCTTGTGAATCTCATAGAGCCATACAGTGAGTGGTGAGAAGAGGGCAGCCACGCAGGGTACAAGAACACTAGCACTACAAATAGACAACAGCCCAAGCCAGCAGCTGCATAGCCCAGTCTGGGGCACTGCTGCACACAGGCCAGTTAGTTCTGCTGCAAAGAAGAGCTCATTCACCTGTCCACAGCACCACACTAACATGGGTAAGCTGCTTTGAGAGCTAGTGCTCCCTGCCCAGGGGCATGCCCTGAGGCCAAAAAAAATAAATCTGACAATATGGCTCTGTTCATTTACTCACACAGCTGTCTCATTTTGACTGGAGCTGATGCTTGCCATAATTTAGATAATTTGGGAGCCGCAATGATTTGGGCAGAAAAGAAACAGCAGAGTGCCCAATATTTGTCTGGAATGGTTTAGACCTGGAAGGTCCTCCCCTTGGGTAAGGGGATTAGGTGACCTCTTAAGGCCCCCTCCAGCCCTATTTCTCTATGATCATACATGGTCATTGCAAGATAATGAAGGCCTTCACTGATCTTACAACACAATCCCTATGGATGAACCCCTTACAATCATGCGCTTCCTGATGGGACTGGGGTTCTTTTATAGAGTAGAGTTTCTTGGTGCAGCACAAGACAGGTCTGAGATTACTTGCCTTTGAAAACAGACACATGAGCAGTGAAGGAGCCATATATTAACACCTCTAAGCACACGATACTAATATAGCTTTGATGAGAAACAGAATACTATAACATGGTATTTTGCCTATGCAAATTAATGAGACAATGTATGTTGAATCATTGTGTAATTCCCTCCATAGCACAGTAAATTCTGCTTCATTCTAAGCAGCTGTAGCTTTGGGAGCTACTGAGACACTGAATATATGGCAGCTGCATTGACTAAAGATTGGCACTCATGTCAGACCAGTTTGTACCCAGTCAAGTTAATAAACATTAAGAGCTGTATTACCAAATGCTACTCCTTGAAAGGAGAATTGGGCTTTGAGGGACAAATCTTGGAAATGTTGTTCAGGACTTCATCAGAACCAAGGTTTGGCTCTAAACCCAGACATAAACATCTTTGGACTGTGCTCGTTACAGTATCTAGATCTGACATTGTGACATCCAACACTGCTTTCTGACATCAGAATACAACACTTAAGTTCCCACTTCCTAGCAAATGGGATAGCATCTCAACATTGTCCAGTAGGTCACATTTTCGTGATGTGGTACCTGTCACTGATGCCCAAATAATATCTAACAGTGCTGGAAAGGGAGTATTTTGCCTTATCTCTATGCAGAGAGCTAATTTGTTAAAAGACTGGGAAGCTGATTTCATTCTTTCATCCAGGTAGGCACAAAAGAAATAGGAACTGGAAGAGGCCTTCTAAGTCACCAGCTCCAGACCCTGCCACAGCAGGCAGCCCTGTCATATAGGTCCAGTATACATTTATCAAGCTCAGACTTGAGACCAGTTACATTTCTCATCCCTCACCCACTCCTATAAAAGGAAACTTGTTCCAGAACCTTGCTCATCTACTGATCAAATGATACAGGGGGTACTTCATCATTTAAAAGCCTAAGCATTGGGTTAAAAACTAGGCTGTCGGAAAGCAGGTGCCCAGCCTAACAAGCTCAGCTACAAAGAGAGAAAAGTACTTGCTACTCAGCTTAGGGCTCAGTACTGGCCAATCTCTCAGACCAGCCACAAAATCCTCAGAACTCTCACTAGCATAGCAACTTTAAAGGCCATAAATCCTACACATTACCACCATGAAAGAAATGTGTAATAGAACAGAACAGAAAGAAAAGGATGGGTGCATTACTAGTGCTAGCTTTTGCAACAGGATCTGTATAGGCAAACCCCTGTCCCAAGTCCCCACAGGGCCCTTTAAGGACTGAGGCATGCCACAGCAAAGGTGGCTAGGGAGCCCCAGTCTTGTCCAGAGACACTCACAAAAAGGGAGAAATATTGAGCCAAACACTCGTGTACTCTCTGGCCCCGTTACACTGTTTTGACCAGGACAAGAAAAAAAAAAAAAAAGAGTGTACAATGCATTTACATGAGCAGTATGAAATGCAAATGAGAGCTAGCTTCCTCATTATCCTAGCTAATAAAATTCCTACTGGAGGCAATAAAGGTGGCTTCAGAGCAGGCGAGGCAGTTTAAACTCACCATGGTGAACTTTCTTGAGCCCCCCACCAATGCTGTTCTGTTCTCTGCACTCCCACCTGGAGCTGGAACTTTGTGTTGGGCTTCCGGGCTTAAATCTCTCTGTGCAAAAGTCACAGGCAAAGCATGTGCTTTGCCCCTGGCAAGAGGCCAGTAAAGGGAGAGAGACTGAAGCAACTGCACAGTGGCAACAGTAGGAAATAGCTAACACAGAGATCTACCTGAATCCCACTGCCTTTTGTACATGAGCCCCCAAAGTGTACTAGCAAAATAGTGAACAAGACTAACCACTCATTATACCTCTAATAGACCCAGATGCCAACGTATCCCAGTACCACTATGTACTAGGATACAAATCAGCCCCCTGCATTCTCCTGGATCCACACAGTTTTTAATCTCCAGTCCTCAAATCCTAACTCCCAAATAATGAACAACTACAAATGCTGCTTTCATACCAATCCACATCTCAGCATGACGGCACCTCAAAATCCTGAATCTGGTTCTCAGATTCTGCTGAATCCAGCCATTTTTTTTGGCTTTCACTCCACAAGCTGCAATGATTTTTTTTAAAGAATAAACCTACTGTTCTGTTTCAGGGGCAAAAATAATATGGGAGACAATACACGTCACTATCATTAGCACCCAATCCTGGCACCTAAATCCAGCTATATAGACGCAGTGTTTCATCCCAATCACTTTTATTTATGCCACTACTTAAATAAAAAATGTGTTTACCAGCTCCTGTTGCTCCTTAAAACCTCAGATTTTGGAGCAGCCCAGGCACAAAGGCTACAAAATGTCAGATCCTGTATCTGTTAAATTATGGCACAAGCCCAGTCATCAACACAGAGAACAGGTGTTGTGTTTACTTGCAGACACAAACTGCCAACACCTGTACAAGCTGGTATAGGAGAGCTATAACCACTCTTCATCCAGTAATTGGAAACCACTGGATCTGTAAAATGTTGGGCTCTGTACTCCAGCAGTCCAGATTCAGGGTTTTAATTCAGGCCCTTCTTTAAGAGGGGAAACACAAATACACCCATCCCACCAAAAAAAAAATAGCACTGGCATTGAGCATGTTTTAGCAATGGACACATTGCCCTGAATATCCCTAAGACAAACTGAGTGCATGGCTTGAGGAGTTCACTCAGAGGAGTCTTGTGTTATCACATATTGCTTCATGGAAACTGGGAAATGTTTTATTTGGAAATAGCTCTGTTGACTTCGTGGATTAGACAGAGAAGTTATCTAAAAGTGGGATTGCACTGTTCTGACTTTCCTGGGCAAAACCAGTACAGTCCACTTCACAGTACTGTGGCCAGTTTCCTCATCGATAAAAATTATTCTGTTCCTGATCATGGTCGCCCTATGTCTTGGATCTCATATTGATAATCCACGTTATTTCTCTCTTCTTTTATTACCAGTAATGTTTCATGAAAACAGTAACCTAAGATTCACTCAACAAAAAGAGTAATTAGCCATTAAGGTTGATCTAATCATGTTTATTCCCTAACTCAGGGTGCCAGTTTTTTTTGTGAGGTCACAGTCATCTCCACAGCAACCAAACGTATTACCCAGACAGAGTAATTCTTAGTTCAGGTAAGCAATAGGAACAAACAAACTTTGGTTTTATACAAATATCCAGAGTTGTTAAAAAACGAGAGAGGAGCCTACCTTTCAAGAATGGCTCATGAAGACAACATACATATTTTTTGTGCACTTTATTCACTTCCCATCTAATCCTAATTTTTAAAACATTCAAATGTCAGTCTTACAAGCCCTCTCTTCAGTCAACAAGAGTGCAGCTAACAGTCAGATTAGGGTGTTTTTGGCCATGATTTTTTTTAGTGCGAAAGGGCAGGATGTAACAGGGCCTTTTTATTTTAGATAGACCCATCTTTTTGTAAATTCTTCTTCTTTGAATTGTGGTGGAAGGATGGTCCAGCAATGCTCCTCATTAAAACACAACACCCCATTAAGTACATTATCTTTAAGGTAATGGAGAGGTGGAGAAAACAGTCCTTTGTAGACTAAATGATGCTCTTCTTCATTTTGTAAATGATGCCCGGACAGAGTGATGGTTGCATTAAGGGAAACACAAATACAGTTTGTTAAATTTGATATCAGATAGGAAACATGACCTGGGGGAAAATCTATTTTTAAGTGGGAAATTTCTTAAAATATACCATGGGTCATCAATGAGCTTTCAGGATTAAAAATTTGATTTAATAAAGATTACTCTAGAGCAGTGTGGGGTCAACCTTTTTAGCAGGAGTGTCATAAATTAGTCCTGCACACTCCCCCATTACTACTCCCAGCCCTTTTCTTTGCCTGTTCTGCTGCTGTGTTGCCTGTCCTCTCCCCGAACTGTCATGTGCTACACACAGAGGCCACCTGTGCCACTTGTGGCACCAGTGCCATAGGTAAGCCCCCCCTGCTCTAGAGTATGAAACTACATAGCAGAATGGAGTGACTGCTTTCAACTGTGTTGCTGAAATTATCAAGAGTTTGGAGGGAAAGGGACAAACACCCTACTGAAATCTTTAAATTAAATCCCTATAATACAACTGTCCATGCTGGTTGAGTTTTAATTCAACAGTTTAAGGGACTGTGCCTTTCAGGGAATAGAATTTGAAATGATGATTTTTTATTTCCTTGTAGACACTGCCACCTCCTGGCTTTCTGATTGCTAATTTTCTCAAATAAGACTTGAAAACCTACAAATGCATCTAAAGCGGATTTGACTTATTTAGAAATATTTCCATTCCCTTGATTCTAATTTGTTTCTATAGAAACATAAGAACTTGCATAATATATCACATCATTTATGGCATGAGTTTAAAAATATAGTTCTGTGACTAAAGTACAGTAACAATATCTTCCTCAGTACTGACTATTATACAATACAACATTTTGATGGAAAGGGTGCAAATAACGTAAGAACTACCAAGAAATTACATTCAAAATACTGTTTATAGAGGAAGCACCAACACTTCTTATATTTGTATTAATTGTTTGGTAATTATTGTTTATGTTAAGCAGGTATGTTTGCTGCATAATTATTTGTTTGCAGATGGGGTTAACACTACAGTTTACAAAGTACAGGCAACCGTGTAATTCCTCTGTAGCTACATGCTAATTATTGTGCTATTATAGAGTAATTAAACATTCAAATAAACATTAAAGCAAGGATGCTGCATAGCAGCTGCCAACAAGTGTAGAATAGAAAACCAGATAGTAATTAAAATTATAGAGTATTATAGTGGTACCAGCTAAAACAGGTAGTTAAGAGTCTATCATCTTTTGCATTATAAACATAATTTCCGAAGCTGGGTAAGTGTCTGGGCTGATGCTTGGATATAGATCTCATTTTGCAAATGCTTAAGTGGATTAATCATTTTTACTAATCACTCCCCCTTCCCATTCAAAAATATGGAAGTAACCATATTTTATATCCTAGTCATATTCATCTTTAGTACTTACAGAGGACTCTTACCGGTAGCTCTCAAAATGCTTTGCAAAAGGACTTAAAAACCCCTATCCTTATCCTACAGCCAGAGAAACTGAAGCACAAAGAGTTTGCCCAAAGTCACTTCAGCAGGCCAACCACCAACCCAGGAAGTGAATCGACACCCCAGTCATGTGAGCTGTCCCCCAGGCCAGGGGTGGCCACGGGCATCCTCTGTGTGTAGCATGTGGCAGATCAGGCAGGGAGCAGAAAATTAAGCAGCAAATCAACCAGAACAAAAGGATTGGAGTTGCACTTGGGGAGGGTGCAGGGCTCATTTGTGGCATACCTGTCCAAAGAGTTGGCACTCACTGCCAGCCTTTCCCAACCGGTGTGCCGTGGCACACTGCTGTGCCGTCAGACATTACCAAGTGTGCCACAGAATCTTTGGGGGGCGTGGCTCCCCGCGGGGGCGGCG